CGGTGGGCGTCGTGGCGAATAAAAACGAAATCGGCCGACCGTAATCCGGGGGACACCCGGAAAGCTGGGTTGCTGTGCTGCGACGTGGGGACGGGCGTGAATGTCCCGGCGGTCTCCAGCAGGGAGGAGCGCTGCCCGGCTGCAGACCAGGGCACAGTGGCGGTGGGAATTAATTCCCCAGGGACCCGTAGCATCTGACCATAGACGAGCTCCGCCGACGAGGACTGCAGGTCTTCTTTGGGGGCACACCTGAGGCCGAGCATAACCCACGGGAGCTTATCCACCCAGTTCCCGTCTATCAAGCCGGCACGCAGTGACGCCTTCATGGACCGGTGAATCCGCTCACACAATCCGTTAGCCTGGGGGTGATATGCAGTGGTGCGGTGCAGCTTGACCCCCAAACCCACAGCAACAGCGTTCCTCAGCTCCGAGGTGAACTGAGAACCGCGGTCAGAGGAGAGGTCAGACGGGGTCCCGAATCGCGCCACCCACGTGCCGATGAAAGCGCGGGCGACGTCGGAAGCTGATGTCGAGGCGAGGGGAACGGCCTCGGGCCAGCAGGTCGTCCTGTCCACCATCGTAAACAGGTAAGTGAAACCGTGAGAGGGGGGAAGCGGACCTACGAGGTCGACATTGACATGGTCAAACTTCCTCTCAGGAACCGCAAAAAGTTCAAAAGGGGCCCTAGTATGGCGGTGGACTTTGGCCCGTTGACAGGCCACGCACGAGTCGACCCAGGACCTCACGTCCTTCTTAAGCCCCTGCCACACGAACTTCTGTGACAACAACTTCACGGACGGCTTCCTACCGGGGTGGGAAAGATTGTGAACCGCCTCAAAAACGGGTCGACGCCAGTCCGCAGGGACCAGCGGTCGAGGCTGGCCCGTGGAGACGTCACACCACAGCTTTGCGCCAGAGTCACCGACCGTGACCTCCTCCAGGCGTAATCCCGTGACCGAGGCCTTGAGTGTCTGGACCCCGTGGTCAGAGGCCTGGTCAGCGGGCATGCGGAGGTAATCGAGGCCCAGCTGCACAGCTCCGATGACCGCTCTGGAGAGGCAGTCCGCGACCACGTTAGCCTTGCCAGCGATGTGTCGTATGTCCGTGGTGTACTCGGAGATGTACGAAAGCTGGCGTTGCTGTCGGGCGGACCACGGCTCGGCCACCTTGGACATACAGAAGGTCAGTGGCTTGTGATCCACGAACGCCGCAAACTCCCGGCCTTCCAGCAGGAAACGGAAGTGGCGAACCGCCAAATAGAGACCAAGGAGTTCTCTGTCGAAAGCGCTATACTTGCGCTCCCTGGGAGTCAACTGGCGACTGAAAAAGGCGAGCGGTTGCCAGGCGCCGTCGACCCATTGTTCATGCACCGCGCCCACTGCGTAGTCAGACGCGTCGGTGGTGATAGCGATGTTGGCCCTGGGTGAGCCAACATGGCGGCTTCGCTCAGGGCGGCTTTGGTGGCGTTCAAAGCGACCTCCCTTTCAGCCGTCCAGTCTATGGCCTGGCCGGGGGATTTGTCCCTGAGGGCCTCGTACAGCGGGCGCATGGTGTGGGCCGCCCGGCGGATGAACCGGTGATGAAACGTCACCATCCCGAGGAACTCTCGGAGCGCCCGAGCTGTAGGCGGTCGTGGAAAGGCAGACACGGCCTCCACTTTCGACGGGAGGGGGGCGGCCCCGTCCTTGCTGATGAGGTGCCCGAGGAAATGGATGGAGGACAACCCGAACTGACACTTCGCCAGGTTGATAATCAGGCCGTGTTGGTTGAGCCTCGCGAAAAGGACCCGGAGATGTGCCTGGTGCTCTTCGGAGGAGGAGCTGGCGACCAGGATGTCGTCTAAATAGACGAAGATGAATGGCATGTCTCAGAGCGCTGAATCCATCAGCCGCTGAAAGGACTGAGCTGCGTTCTTAAGTCCAAACGGCATACGCAGGAACTCGAAAAGCCCAAACGGCGTAATTACCGCAGTTTTGGGGACGTCCGAGGGGTGCACCGGAACCTGGTGGTAGCCCCGCACCAGATCCACCTTGGAGAAAACCAGCTTGCCCGCCAGGTGTGCAGAGAAGTCCTGGATGTGAGGGACCGGGTAGCGGTCTGGCGTAGTGGCGTCGTTAAGGCGGCGGTAGTCACCACACGTTCGCCAGCCACCGGCTGATTTAGGGACCATGTGAAGCGGCGAAGCCCAAGGGCTGTCTGAGCGGCGGATGATGCCCAGACGCTCCATGTTGACGAACTCTGACTTGGCGACTGCCAGCATGTCAGGGTTGAGCCGCCGGGCCCTAGCGTAGACAGGGGGGCCTTCAGTGTCAATGTGGTGCTCTACCCCATGTTTGGTAGTGGCAGCGGAAAAGGTGGGCTGCGTCAAGTCGGGAAACTCACTGAGAAGGTGCTGGAACTTGTCGCCCTGTGAGAGTGAGCTGGAGAGCCCGCTGAATGACGCCTCGCCGCGGGTACACGTGAACGAGGCAAACGTCAGTGCGTCCACCAGGCGGCTGTTCTTGACGTCCACCAGCAGTCCGTGAGCGCACAAGAAGTCTGCGCCGAGGAGAGTGAAGGAGATGTCAGCCGTGACGAAATCCCACTTAAACCGCTGACCCTCGAAGCACAGGGCCACTGTCTTTGTGCCATAGGTGCGAATAGGGGTGTCGTTAGCGGACGTTAAAGGTGGGCCGTGGCCTCCACCGGCAGCGTCCTCCACGGTAGCCGGCAGGACGCTCCGCTGGGCTCCTGTGTCACAAAGGAGTCTGCGACCAGAGAGGGTGTCCCTGATGAACAGGAGCCGGTTGGATGTGCCCACGCTCGCGGCCACTACCGAGCGCAGGCCTTGGCGTTTCCCGTTACCTTGTTACATTGTTGTTACATCTTCGCTTTCGCCCCATAGCGTGCATGGTAATAGCACAGGCCAGGGCTGGAGTTGCTGACGTCGGCCCCGGAGCTTCTGCTAGGTGGCATGCCTGTACCAGGGAAGGTGCCGCTGCGTGTCGGGGCCAGCACCTCCGGGGCAAAACGCTGGGTTGCCAGGAAGAACCGGTCAGCTTCTTCGGCCAAAGCGCGGGGCTCAGTAATAGCCGTGTTAGCGAGCGCTGTCTATACATGCGGCGGCATGTGCCGAAGAAACAGTTCTATGAACAAAAAATTAGGTTCTTCCGTACCCAGCAGGCTGAGCATCATCTCCATGTGGTCAGAAGGCTTGTTGTCCCCCAGGCTATGAATAGCGAGCAGGCGTCGGGCCCGTTCCGACCGTGACAGCTCGAAAGTCTTTAGCAGGAAAGCCTTGAACGCTGCATATTTATCCTGGGCAGGAGGAGATGTAATAAAGCCCACCGTCCGGGTCACAGTGGAGCTCCCCAGCGCCGAAACGACGTGAAAATAGCGTGCTGCGTCGTCAGCCACTCCGCGGAGGGCGAACTGAGCCTCCACCTGAGCGAACCATGCAGCTGCAAATGTCTCCCAAAACTCCGGCAGTTTGAAAAAAACGGCGTTACTTGCCATGCTCGGTTCAGTCTCGGATCCTTCAACAAGACTTATGTCGGGGTCACCAATGTGGTGCCGAGAGACGGGAGTCGGAGGCGGGGTATCAAAGTTACAAGCTCTACTTTTATTTAGCATCGGAACACCCATGTAAAACAACTTCATGCCCGGGAAGCGAAGACCGGCGGAAACAGGAAGTCCGGCTCACTCAAATGTCCGTGCGGAACAATACCCCAACCCATAGATCCGTGGGTGAATAATGTCAATCACCACAGCCTACACTTAATTCTTTACTTTGTCCGTTATTATATGTAGAAGATATTAATTTTTATTTTTTCTCCGTCATGTTGCAACAACTTCAAACAATAACAACTAACCGCTAGCCGCAAAGCTAGCTTCACAGCCACTGCTCCGTTTTCGGAGACTTTGCACACGTTTTTTACAAACATTTCCACACGCTAGGAGTACTTCCACTAGCTTCGTCTTGATCTCTAGATGTGATTTGATGTGTCGTGTGTCCCCCAACTCCTCTCCAAAGTTCAGATATTTAATAAAATACTCAGGGGAGTTTCCTGAATTTTCATGCCCAAAGCCAAGCACTAAGCCCTGGGTAAATTAAGAGGCTGATCTCGGGCACTTTTGTCCACTTTCCCTGGTGGTCGAAACTCAAGCCAGACATCCCTGGAATCGTCTCAGAGAGTAGATGATCAGTGGGGCCTTGTTTTTACTGAATGATGTGTTTTTTTATGATGAATTCAAATATGAGCTTATTTTTAGGATTTTCGGAGACTTTGCACACGTTTTCACAAACATTTTCACGCTATGAGTATGGGAGTACTTCCATTCGCTTCGCCTTGATCTGTAGATGTGATTTGATGTGTCGTGTGTCTCCCAACTCCTCTCCAAAGTTCAGATACTATATAAAAATACTAAAAGGTAAATAAAACATTAAACATAATGACAAAATAACAACCTGAAATATATGTATTCTATCTACACATTTCGTAATTATCTAATCTAGTGGCCTTATAAAAGTGTTGGCTAAAGTAACGCAGAATATATATATTTTTTAATTGTAAATAATTAGAAACATTATTTATGTGCACAAGTACATGGGACCCCACCATAGCACCCCACACATAACAAGCTGTCCCGAGTTCCTCCGGCTGCAGTTCCGCAGACGGCCGGTGTGTGGCAGCAGAGCGCTGGGAGCAGAGGGAGGTGAGTATATGACGGATATGACGGAAGACGGATGCGACGGAAATACACCCGAACATATCTGGTAGCCCGTGGTTATTTTTTTAAATGATAAATAATACGTTGCCTTAACTAAAACATGCCTTTGTGAACATGTATTTATAAATCTACACGTGTTAATTTGATTTGCCATGATTACATTAGATTTTTATTTTGAAGATGTACAAATCTAAATCGGAATCAAACTAACAACACGTGTCAATTCATGTATCCATTCACTTACGAAATCGGTTTAAACTTAAGTGTGATTTGTAATTTCAGGGACTCTGGTAAAAACCAAGGCACTTATTGCTTTAAGAATGGAAAAGGATGACCTGTTCTGCAAAAAACGCAATGCTGCCAAAGAAGCATGGGAGTGAGTTATGCACTCAATTCATATTTTGTGCAATGAAAGTAATGAATGTGCACTGTGGGTCATTGCCTTAACACCAATATATATTGTTTAAATATTCTATGATAACAGGTCAATCATTAAGGAACTGGACCTTGGGCAACATGTGTCTCACAAACAGGCCTCCAAGAAATGGGAGAACCTAAAAAAGAAATACAAGGTGTATTGTTATTGTAAAACATGTTTGTTTTTGAAAAAGCTGAACAAAGATTTATAACATGCATTTGTTTGCAATAGGAACTTAAAAGGCCAAGGACTGGAACAGGGACTGATCAGGGGGAAGAAACCCCTGCAACATGGTCCTTCTTCATGGCCATGGATGAGGCCATAGGTGCAATGCCTTCAATTAGTCCTCCTGTCTTTGTTGCCTCAGCCTTGGCAAACCCCACAATCCTCTTTGATCCGGAGGCTGCTTCCTGCTCCTCTTCCTTCCCCCCCCCAAATGTGGCTGATGATCCAGACCCCTCACCACCCTCATCACTGTCTGAGGCTGGAACCACCCAGCAGCCCCCCCCAAAAAAAAGAAAAGGTGCTATGGGAGTGCTGGAGTGCCTAGAACGCGAGGCAGAAAAACAGGACGAACGCCACAGAGAAATAATGCAGCACTCAGATACATTTCTAACCCTGTTCGAAAAAATGGTCGACAAAATGTGATTTATTTTTTCCCCCCACCATTGGCCATTTCTATGTTTGATTATTGATGTTACTTAAAATACTTGTTTTTGTTCGCTTGTATTATTTATTTGGAAGACAATAAACCTAATTTAACGTACTGTCCTTCATGTCTTCAATATTGTATGGGATATAGTAAATACAGGTAGACGGGTGATGAAGGTGACATTGCGTTTGCTTGATTGTTAGATGGCTACATTGTTCTGTGTGGGTTTCATAATGTAGAAGGAAAAGTTTTGCACAAAGTAATGTTGTGCACGGAACTAAAGTGTTTTTTCCAAAGTCTGAAGATTAACCCTGAATATCAGCATTTTAAATAAAGATATGTCTGTGCGCTTCATAGGTATAAGGCATTAAAATATACATGACATTTACGGTCTTAATTGCTCATGTCAAACCATTTGCAGAGTTTCACTCAAAAACTAAAGTGATTGTATTAGAAGACCTGTGTTCATTTTCTGAACCTTTGCGCTGTGCTCGTGATTGAATGATCCAAGAGGTAAGGACATTTGTCTCCAATTTGGGATTATGCAGAAAGACAATTCAGGAAAACCAAGTTTGAAATCAACGGTGCACAGGTTTATTTTATTTCACCTCTTTTCTCTAAAGTGAGAAGTGGAGCTCACTAAAACAAACAAAATTAAATCAGGTATGTGTGCACATCATTTCAAAAACACAAGTTAATAGACAACCACGTTTTTCCAAAAAAAAAACATTAGATGTAATCGTGCTCTCTCAGGTGTGGTGCCATTTGGACAGGAGCAGAGAGTTGTGCAGCAATCCTGTTCCTTAGGTGGTGTCCAGGACTTTCTTGTCCACATGCTGCGGCAGGGGGAAGACTCTGGTCCCCATCTTCAGGGGTGGAAGGCTTCAGCATCCTCAAGGACATCGTTCATGTCTATGTACAGATTGTGCAGAAATGCACAACATGCAATGATGTCAGGGGCAAAGCTTGGACTGACCTCCAGCGCTTTGAAAAGGGTGGCCCTCCAGCGAGCCTTCATCCTTCCAAATGCTCTTTCCACCACAGACCGAGCCCTGGCATGATGCCTGTTGAATCTGGCCTGCACCTGGCCGCGAGGGACCTTGTAGGGTGTGAGTAATCCCACTGGTTTTTCCAGGCAGGGATAACCACCGTCCCCAAAGAGGAACCAACCAGCTGGGGGAAACAGTGCCTGGCAGAAGATGGGGCTGTTTCGCAGTACTCTGGCATCATGAACGGAGCCTGGATAGCCGATGAAGACATCCAGGAATCTCCCAGTTGAGTCACAGATGGCCTGCATCTGGATGGAAGGAAACAGATTGTAATTGATGTACTCCTTGTGGTACTCGTTTCCTGGAGGTTTGATGCGAATATGGCATCCATCAATCGCACCAGCAGCACGGTGAAATGCAGGACTCTTTGCAAGCTGACAGAAGCCATCTGCAATCTCTGGCAGCTCATCTGGGGTTGGCAGGGAAATGAGGGTCTTCAGGTTGGCCTTTATCTTCCCGGTGACGTGTTTGATGATCCTGTGGACCGTCGATTTGGGAATCCCGAATGCTGAACCCACCACAGAGAGTGATAGTCCATGGGCCAAGCTGTAGAGGAGAACAAGCACCTCGATGTCTTGTCCCCATCCGTGGTCCTTTGGGGAGGAAAGCATCTGCACTAAATACACCACACTAGATCGCTTAACTCTAAAGTCCTTCTTTAGACAGGCTTCAGGGTTGGCATACACGGCGAGAATTGGGGCAGTGGCATTGAGCTGCATGTAAAGACCTTTGCCCCCCTGTAAAAGACAAACACAGGACACAGTATTGTTCAATAACTATACTCCAACACACACACACACACAGCTCTGGAAACAATTCTGAGACCAAGTCAAATTAACCTTTCCTTTTTTATTCTATAAACTACTGACAACATTTCTGTGTTGGAATTCTACAGACACTATACAGATATACACGTATAGTTTATAAGGAAAGAATAAATGAATGTATATCACAATATATCTAAATATCTATTTGTATTACACATACAAAGTTCATAGGCTACTATATAAGAAATAAAGTGAAGATAATTGTTGTATTAGCAATATTGAAATGTTTACCTGCCACTGGCACATCGCTAAAATGCGCCTCAACCTTCTGCGCCTTCTGTTGGATCTTGCCATTGCACCCGCTAACAGGCGACGGATAGCAACGCAGGTCAATGCAGCCGACAGATGGAGATGTGAGTTGGACACCATGACGTCCGTTTCCGTTTCCTGCGGAGAGAGGGGAGGCCGTCCCAAAGCTTGCCGCTGTATTTATACCCTTAACCCTTAATGGAGGGAACTTCATTCAGCTGTGAGTGTGCCTACAGACGGAGTTCACTCCGTCACGGAGGGGGAGGGTCGAGGGAGTGGTTTGGGATTGGGCCTACATCATGCTTCGCCCTTAACCCAATAGCGATATATATACGAAATAGAACTGAGGTTACCTACTGTAACCCAGCTTCTATGAGTATTGGCGCATCCCTCTAAGCGCTGGGCCCCACTGGCTCTACGAATAGCTGAAGAAAAGTTATATTGTATGGGAGCAGATCGCCGGGCAACCTCCCTATTTATACCGGAAGGAGGCCCAGGGTGGGGCCCACCTAGCGGGTGGGCGTGGACTACAAGTGTTTTCAGTACTGCGCGGGGGCGCAGAAGGGTAAACCCAATAGCGATAGCCTTACGGCCCGTCTACACTACAGGCGTCAAAAAATGCTTTCAACGCTTTGCCCATTCATTTGAATGGGGTGACGTAGGATATTTTCAATCTTCGCCGAACTGCATTGTGGGTAGCTTGGCAAGGCGTTGCAAGCGTCGCGAGCCTCAAAAGTTGAACATTGTTCAACTTTTGAGGCTCGATGCTTTCTCGAAGCTGGCGTCAGCCAATCAAATCCCGTTTTTGCAATTCCCGCCAGTACAAGCGCTAGCCAATCAAACCGCGTGTATGCTGATCCCGCAGGTCTTGACTATTTTCCATATGTCATAAAATGGAGGACAAATTAATCATTGCTGTGGCAAATGTCCCAGTCCTGTATGACTGTACTCTGTTCACCTACCGGGACCTAAACCGGAGGAACCAGGCATGGCGGGAGGTGGCAGAGACAGTTGGTGAAACTGGTAGGTTTTCAACTGTTTGGGGAGTTTATATCCAGTTTACTTCGTTTTAGCATTGAATGGACAGCTAGTAATGTAGCATAATAACATATAATATATATTAATATAATAATAAAAAAAACATTATAATAAGCATAATATATAACATAACATATAATACATGCACAGCTATCAAGCATAGACAGTATATTTAGCCAGCTAGTAATGTTGCATAACATATAATGTATATTAATACAAAAATATTATATATAATATAATAAGTATAAGCATAATATATAACATATAATACATGCAGAGGGTGTCGTTTTTCTCATACTGATATTCTGAACAATCTGTGCTGTTGTATTTGCTGTAAAGTGTCTCTACTGTAGGCTAATTTTCTTATATGTACAGCACTTTGGCTCGACCAAAAATCGTTTATAAATGTGCTATTTAAATCAAACTTGATTTGATTCACAGCTATCAAGCATAGACAGTATATTTAGCCAGCATGGAATATAGCATACAAATAGCATTCATTAATGGAGGAATAATTTAGTAAATTCAAGAAATTCACTTTATTATTTATTAACTTTATTATTTCATTTCATTTTATTAGATAATGTCTGCAAGAAGAGATGGAAGAGTCTGAGGGACAGGTTCCGCAAGGAAAAGAATATGGAGAAGGAGGCCAAAAGAAGCGGGGCAGGGTCTGCAGGGGGGTACAAGCCCTGGCGTTTCATGGCAGTGATGGGGTTTTTAACCCCATTCATCATAGACCGTGAGACGTCCAGCAATGTCCCCCGGCAGACCCTGCCTCCATCCACCCTGGTGGCAGAGGAAGAGAGCCAGGTAGACAGTGAGTCAGCCAGCCAGTCCACCAGCCAGTCCGCCAGTCAACCAGCAGCAGTCAGCCAGGAGGAGAATGCTGAGGTCCGGGGCAAAACACGGGGTAGGGGGAGGGAGATGTCCCCGTTGAACGAAGTCTGCTGTCAGCAATTACCCAGCAATTGCCCAGCCAACCCCACCAGTGGTGGAGGAGGACGAGGACTTGCAATTTTTCAAGAGCCTCTTGCCCACCATGAGGCAGATGACAAGGGCACAGAGGGCAAGAGTCCGCCTCGGGGTACACCAAATCATTTTTGACGTGGACCAGCAGGACAATTTATAATTTTTTCACACATACTGATCCACATTACATTTTTTTACACTCATCACTCATCACACACACTTCACTCAAATTCACCAAATAAAACATTATTTCAAGTATGTTATGGGTATACTGTGTCTTCACTTGTTCATGTGGTTTGTCAGTTGCAACATACCAGAAGCTTCATGTATGTCAGTATATATATAATGTGCTTTCTTCTGTAATTGGTCATGTGAAAACCTATTGAAATTATGAGTGGTTTATCAGTAAAAACAGGGCTGAAAGAAAAAGGTTGTTAGTCATATCATGATATAATAATATCAATTCAAGAAACATGTTTATTAGGAATGTTTGATTTTAAAATGGCTCATTTGGAATATTTGCTCTTTAAAGAAAATGGGTAGCTCTTAAAAGAGCTTTTGGTTTGGAGGAGCCATGGTGACCCTACACCACTTTATGCTGCCATGACACTACACCCTCCTCATTCAAATAGGAGCAGAAGGTCTCCCGCAGTTGGATGGATCGGCGTGTGGCGTTGTTTGAGCCCATCATAGGTGCATCGCGCAGGGTTGGAGCTTCATCACTCGACTCTGCGACAACAGGTGTGCGTGATGACCTTCCTATTGTCTTCCTGCGGAGGAAGTTGTGCAACACACAGGTGGCCTTCACACACAACTCTGTTACCTCCGGGCTGGTGGTGATGACACGCCGGAACATTCTCCACTGAGATGAGAGGATGCCAAACGCACATTCAACCACCAAGCTGGCCTGGCTGAGGCGGTAGTTGAACAGCCTCCTTTCACGCGTGAGCTGACGTCCAGGGAACGGACGCAGCAGGTTGTCCAGCAGCGGAAAAGCCTCATCTCCAACAAACACATGGGGAAGAAGGCCCAGCCGCTCTGCTCCTGGGATGACGGTGTCAGGTGGTAGCTGCAGACTGCCATCTCTGAGGCTCTCTCCAAAAGCGGAATTCCGCAGGCTCCCACCGTCGCTGCTCCTTCCAAAACCTCCGACATCCACTACCCTGAAGAGGTACTCAGCATCCACAACAGCCAGCAGTACCAAGGAGTGGCTGGACTTGTAGTTGAAGTAGAGGGACCCAGAATTTGCCGGAGCCTGGATCACCACGTGCTTTCCATCAATGGCACCAACGCAATTTGGAAAGTTCCAGCGCTCCTGGAACCCAGCAGCGATGGCTCTCCAGCCCTCCGTCTGTGGTACCGGCATGGTCTCCTCGACCAGCGCGGTCCAGATGGCACCCGCAACCTCCTTGACGATGACAGCCACTGTTGCATGCCCGACCCGATAGCTGAATGCTATGGTCCTGTACGAGTCACCGGTTGCCAGGTACCTGAGAAAAAAGTAATATACAAGATTTTTTTTTTTAAAGTTATACGCCACGCAGACACACACACCACAGACACACACATCACAGACACACATCACAGACACACACACCACAGGCAGACACAAACACCACAGACACACACACCACAGACACACCAACATACCACAGACACACACATCACACAGACACACACACACCACAGACACACACATCACAGACACACACAGACACATATCACAGACACACACATACACCACAGGCAGACACAAACACCACAGACACACACATCACAGACACACACACACCAGACACACAGACACACACACCACAGACACACACACCACAGACACACCAACATACCACAGACACACACATCACAGACACACACACCACAGACACACCAACATACCAGACACACACATCACACAGACACACACACCACAGACACACACAGACCACAAACACACACACACACACAGGGGAGCAATACTGCGTTTACCTAGCTATCTTAATTAATGTCATTCATCTGAACTACATCACAGACTTCATTCATCCATTGCATGCATTATCTCTCTTTATATACAGAGTCATATTAAAGAAGTAGAAATACACAAAACGTACCGTAGGCAGTGCTTGAATTGGAATGAAAAAGGTGCCAGTACTCTAAAATCAGCAACTTTTTCAAGTCAATTTTATATATACAGCCCACAAACAAGAATTTGGCTACTATAATGCTGGTGGGTTTGTCTCTTTACTACTGTATATTTTAGAAAGGTTCACTGTACTTAACATTTTTTATGATAGGCAGCGGATATGGCTAAAGCTCAGTAAGGTCAATATTAACTGAAAATATAGCAATCAAAGTCTAGATCTTCTGCTGAAGACACATGAAGCAGAGACCTTTCAGGTGAGAGCCCCTCTGGTGGTGTTCAACATTAATGACAAGGAAACAAAGCTCTGGTCAGAAGCATTTTTTATAAAAAGCTTTAACAAAATTAAGTATTTCTGTACATTTTGAATGCAATCTAACTTTCCAACTCAGAAAACGAAAAACGAAAAAGTGCCAAAAGTCTTCTCACATGGCTGAGCTGCTTTGCAATATACTTCACCACTGAAGAATACAAATATGTATAAAGTAAACTATGATGCAATCTAACTTTCCAACTCAGAAAAATGATAAAGAGCATGAACAAAGAACATGTAAAAACAAATGCAAAATTTGCACAATCTAAAATGAGAAACTGTAACTGCAAGTAACAAAGTCTGAGCCATGGTAAAGAGTTACATTGAACACCAAGCTGATCAGATAACTCCCTGGTTGGTCTGAAGTCCTTCTATCTCCAGGATCTGTACAAATCGGCACATTATGCCAAAAGTCTTCTCACTGGGTGAGCTGCTTTGCAATATACTTCACATTGTTAGAAAAGGCTCCAGAAGGCCTTGGGGACATCAGTATCAGGGGCTGGAGCTGGACAGGCTCTTTCATCAGCACTTCTCCTTCCCTTTGCCAGCCAGGACCTCACATACTGTTCCGGATTGAACTGTCCTAGTGATGGTCCATTACATTTAATGAAAACCAGGCTGGACAGTCGGCTGACAGAGAGAGCATTCCTTTTTGCAGTAAGGATATCGTTCATGCAGCTGAATGCCCGCTCACACTCACTAGTGGAGACAGCGATGGTTCGGACTGCTTTCAGTAGAGGCGCCATGGCAGCAGGTGTACGGGATGCCCTGGTTTCCTTGTATTCGC